TGCAAGGGAGCGATATAGCAGCGGCTGCCCATTGCTGGGAGCCGCTCTTGCCAGGAAGTTTCCATGCGAGGTACACGCTGTGACTGCCTTTCTTTCAGCACTTCTCCTTTCCCTCACTCCCGGCAATGTTCTCATGTGTTGGCCCTGCCAGGCTCTGCAAGCTCAGCAGTTTCCAGCTCTGCCCCTGGGTGCACTTTAGGAGGCAGCATCCAGAGAGGTGCTGGCCCCCTGCGTCAGCCTCCCCTCCCTCCAGATTGATGTTTTTCCTCTGCAGCTTTCACGTCTCCATCTTGTTATTCCTCTTCTCACACCTCGCCCCTTTTTCTCACTGATGCCCTCTTCTTCTCTGTTTCCCTCATCACCCTGCAATGGTGTTTCTCCCTTTTTACCAGTCTTATCTACTCGCCACCGTGGTGGGAGCGCCTTCCAGAGGCAGAGGGACTCTTCCTTTGAGTGCAATAAGGGTGCAGTTGCCCCCAAATCAGAGATGGTCCTTGCCTGAAGAAATCACTTCAAATGAGCAGGGCAAGAAAAAGGGTGAGGGGGGAAGTCTAGAAAGGAGAAGTGACTTCCCCAAGCCTGTCCAGCAGGGCCAGAAACAAGTCCTCTCTTTTACACTTTGGCCAAACCATCATCTTTGCTCTGTGGGGACCTAAGCAAGTGTAATTTTAAAGGAAAGCGAAGCAAAAGAGGTACCTCCTAGGAATGGAGTTCCTCAAGGAGTCTTGCTGCTGCAGCAGAGGACCAACCAGGCAGCCAAGCCCCACTGCCCCACCAAAAACCAGTCCTAGGAGTCTCTTGGCTTCGGCCACATCCACCTAGGAAAACACAGCTTCCCAGCCCCAGCAAGGCAGCGGCCCCCAGGTTGCACAGCTGAGCTGCCCAATGTGATAGCAAGGGAGAGGCACCAGCTCCCCGGGATGCAGTGCCACTTCCCGGGGAGCAGGAGGCACCTTACCCTGCACCCAGGGGAAGGCTGTGCTTGAGCTGGAAAGGGGATTTTTCAGCTTCCTGCCATGACCAAAGTGCTGCCACGGGATTTGCTACAGGAGCTAATGAACGTGGCTCTAAGGCCTGGGCTGGGGTTAGGTCAGGCGCTCCAAAAGTACCTGTCACGTCTTCTGTCTTGTCTTCTCCATCTGGACTAGTTCAAGTTGTGCAGTGCCTAGGAGACCAGCTGTCTCCACTTTCAGCCCCACAGAAATCCACTGGTAGAGCTTCATAAAAAAAGCCATAATAATTAGAGATGAGCTCATTATATCTGCTTGTGACTCATCCACTGGAAGCTCTAGCGAACACCGCTGCTCTGCTGGGAGTCTCGCTTTCAAGGGTGTGCCGACAGATGCAAGTACTAGACTGAGTAATCAAAACTCGGTACAGGTTTACAGTTATTACACCCTAATTTCTGATAGCAGAGATGTGGGGGACTACTGGTGTTAGGCCCCACACCTGTACATGCACATGAGTATATCACCCGCGTGGTCCAATGAGGTCAGCAGGACTATGCAAGGCTCAGACATTACCTGAAGCCCAAATGTATTTTTGTGCAAGTCGAGAGTAAGTTAGTCTGTAGGCATGGTCCTCTCATAAACTGAGAGACCTGGCAGGACGGAGTCAACTTGCTTTTATCAAATTCAGAAAAATTGCAGCCACAGAAGGGACTGGTGTGATGCAGAATTAGCAGTGACAGGGATACTGAAATAATATGCCTATTATTGACAGAAAGCAAGTTTTACTTTGATGTTCTTACATTGTTCTCCTGATCATCAGGCAGGTACTTCGGTTTGGTGATGCACCAAAGATGGTGGCTGGGGAAAGCCTAACTGCAAAAATCACGTCTCCACTAGTGCATCTGCCCGTGAGGTAACTGGTGTCACCTATGGCTTTCCAGCTTGTCCACATGTCCGCTCTCAGGGGTCACCCCAGCATGGGTGAAAACATGCTGTCCTGCTAAGTAAAAAAATAACATCCTGAGAACGCATGGCACTGAAGAGAGCCTGGGGTGGGGGGGTTACGCTGGTCAAACTGCTCCTGGGGCGAAAGCTAATTGCTCTGCAGGCCGAGCAGGGCGAGTTGTTCCCCGGCTCTACCTCTGCCACCAGAAAGGATTCACATTCATATGCAAAACCCCTACACCCCGGGCTGGCAGGGCTGCCACTGCGCGCAGCGTGCGAGGCGAGAGGGCAGGGTGCGTTTTGAGCCCGTCCTGCCCGCCTCTGCTCTCAAAATCAACTTCTCTCTCGGCAGTAAGGACACCACCTCAAAACTCATCTCACAGGCTGTCCGTAAAAACAAGAAGTGGTAATCAGATGAATGAGACTATTTTCGCAAGTGCAGATGCGGAAGCTATTACCACCAAAATGTTTAGGAAACCGGTGAAAGGAAATAGTCGAGCTGTAGCGTAGGAACCAGTTCAAGCACTCGGCTCTGGCTGCTCCCCGAGCTGTGTCCTCGCCATGATGCAGCACGCCCAAGAAGATCCGACTGCACCCGGAGAAGAAGATGATGCCTTTGGGGAAGGTAAAGTCATCTTTTATTAAACTAATCCTTCTCCTACTCAGACTAGAGACCGGCTTCTAGCTTGGGTGGTATTTCTTGGGTGAATCTGAAGTTGCCTACAGGCTCCAAGGTCACAGGGTGACCAGACTTTCTTTTTCTCCTAAGAGAATGGAGAACAAAAGCACTCCAGATACAATAAAAATAACTTTCACACTGGGTCAGCAGCTTGCTTCCTCAGCAAGGAGGTTACTGCAGAACAAGAAAACTGGGGGGACGACCGTGTTTTCTACAGTGGCTGCACTATGCAAAGCGTTGGGCATTGAATGCCGCAGGTGCAGCTGTCGTTAAAGTAGTAGAGGCGCTTTGCAGGGGCTAAAGGTGACTCGCTGCTTAAATTATCTGAGCAAAATTAGCTGCCTCCTCCCCGACTGCCACAACCCAGGGCACAGAGGCAGGGCCGTAGCTTCCTATCCCTAAAACTTTCTGCTGGAGCTTGATTCCTCACTGCTTGCACCCTGTGCCGCTGTTTACACGTGTACCGAGAGCTACCCAGTCAAAATAGTGGAGAGGCAGATGAGACGACCCAGGGGAGAAGGAAGAAGAATCTGGCCCATGGTGTCTAATTTCTGCCGTCGCTCACTGCTCCCCTTTGCACTTGAGCTGGGGCCGGGGGGAGAACTTGCTCATGCAAATCTTCTCCCGGCCCCCAGCTCTCCGCAGTTTCCAAGGGAGTTGAAGGCACAAAGAGCTGCCTGGATCCGCTCCAAAGACCGTGAACCTTTAAACTCACTTTCAGCACAGCTTCAGCAAACCTCATTTAAACAAAGCTCAGCTGCGGTTGGTATGGAAAACTTAGCAGTGAATAGCGCCAAATCAAGTTATCTGAGCCTCAGTGAAAGGCATCAACGCAGGAAAGAAAGCAGCTTCAGTGGTGTACTGTCTGTATTCAAATGCATTTCTCACGCACATATGCCCCCAGTCCTCACCCTGTGTCCCAGACCGGACTCAGAAGGGCAATGGATTTGCAGAAAGGCGAGGTCAGAGCATTTGCGTTCAGGAAAAAAACCTGATAGTCCAGGGAAGACGCGATGCCACTGGGCAAATGACCTGGCACTGGAAGTCCCCTGTTGTGTTCCTGCATCCTGCCCTCACACAGGTGGATGCTGCTTCTCAGGATAACTGACTCCATATGGACATTTTTGAGTGCTCTTCAGAGCCAGTGGGATTTAGGCTTCCTTGCTCTTTCCGAACCCTCTGGCCTGAGCTCTTAATCAGAAATGTAGGAGGGAAGGAGAGGAACATGCGCAGGTTATTCAGTGTTTATATTGCATTATCTGAAGGGAAAGATACAGTGCTTAAGAAATCCATTCCAGGCTCTCAGCTAAGTTGTTTCTGGCAGGGCTGATCCAGCAACAGCTCGAGGAGGCTGGCTTTTCAAAGGCAGGAACATTTTAAAAACCTCTCCATGACCCTGCTTGGAGCAGGAGGTTGGACTAGATGGCCTCCTAAGGTCCCTTCCTGCCCAAGTTACCCAATGAGTTGGTGACAGCCTCTTCATTTCATCTGCATGTAACTGGGAACGAATCCACCCCAGCTGCTCTCTCAGTCAGAGGGTCTGTGGGCTCCCAAACCTGCCAGCTGGAAGGCCCAAACAACATAGGCACAGTGCTAGCCTTCCCCTTCAGCCCCCCTCTCCTCTCTCTTGAACAGGTTAGCAGGGAAACATTAACTTTTCGGCTGCTATTTCCGGAGCAGTGTTGACCCTGGACAGCCCTGCGTGCTCCCCGGGGCTGGGTGGGATGCAAGCGGGGAGGAGCAGTGCCGGTTTTAGTCACAGGGCAGCTCCTACCCCGCTCACGCTGCAGAGACGTAGGTGCCAGCCAAAACTTAGTTGCAGATTTTCAGGCCAGATGGAGACGTTTGTCAGGTGCTGCACTCCAACTCCCAGCTCAGCACAGACCACAGCTCTTAGGGTGTGGGCTTTTTTGGGGTTTGTTTTCCACATCCGGCTTGATTTGGAAAGCTGTGATGGCAGATCTCCCATCCACCTTTTTAACTTGTCCCAATGGCTAGCTACTGTCGCGGTTAAAGACAGCTGCATCTTACTTCTTCTAGTGTTGATTTGTCTAGGGGGTTTTTTTGAGTTCGTTGCCCTCTTGTCCAGGAGAGCAAAGAACTCACTATTGCTTTTATATATATGTGTATATATGTCTCATATAACTATCCACAGACTGTATTCAGACTGCTTTTACCCTTTGCCAAGATGACTCTTATCAATGACTTTTTCTTTTTGAAATGGGAATTTTAATCTTTTAAGCATTTTCATGGTTCTTCTGGGGACCATCCCCTTGGAGATGTGGACGCCAGCGTGGAGCCCACCACTCCAAAACTGTTACATCAGGAACAAATCCAGAAGCTATATGATCTGTTCACTCATACTTTATAAATATATATATACCTATATAAGGATCAGGTCAGGGATCAGCTAATATGTACAATGACTGCTTGAGTCCTTTTGGGTCCCAGCATCACATGAGGGTCTCCTCTTCATTGGGTTTTCCTCTATGATCCTAAAGTCTTTCAGCAACAAAACTTCTCAGAGCAGGGTCAACACTATCCCATAACTATGGCCTATCATCTCCTTTGCTCCCAGCTATGCCCATACTAAAACCAGATAAATCAGCTCGCTTTCTCAAGTAGCCTGTTCACAGAGTGATTTACCACTTCCCCAGACATGGTGCCATCTGCATATTCAGTCAGTCACTATTTAAGGTTCCCTTTCAGGTCAATGACATAAAAATGAGTTAAACCCCATAGCGACGGAACCAATCTGTGCAGGTCCTCACTAGAAACCGCCTGATGATTCCTCAGCTGGGTTACAGCTGTCATTTGAACTCAGTTTGGACTCATTCAGCATGTCCCAAATTGATCTACTGCACTTCAAGTTTCTTAGTCAAGTTCTCATGCAGTACCAAGTCTCATTTCTTACAAAAGTCCAAGTACAATATCAACACAATTATTTTCTATAAAACCCGCTGATTATATCCCATCTCCTTTAATTTTGCTTATACGACATCAGTTATTCTGTAACGAGGCCAGGACGGCTGCCAGGCTCCCTGAAAATCCTCTGGTGTTTCAAGTTTTTGAAAAAATCAGCAATCCAGTTGATTTGAAAAAAAAAAACCAGTTCCTTGGATAGCTCTTTTCAAAGCTATAGTTTAAAATCCCCCTTTGGGAAAGGTAAAGGGAAAAAATATTTTCCCATTGATACGGACCATAAGCTGGCACTGATATTGTCCCACATGCAAACAAAAACATTTGTTGAAAACTTCAGTTTTCTGCACCATTATTGATAATTCCACCATTTTCATCTACTTACGCTCCAATAGCATCGTTTTTCCTTATTGTGCATTGAAAACCCAAGTCACAGCGCTGGGTGTGACAAGCTATAGTATACTTATCTTCACAAAAAACCTGGGCTGGCCCTTGCAATAGCTATTCAAAGCCTGAAAACGTTCATCCCCAGAGAAAATCGGTTAATACATTTTCTTGTTTTCTATGTAAACAACCTTGCACTCGCATTGCACTATCATCTCCTTCAAAGGACCTGCGGAGACTTTGTGAATGGCTGCGCCTGGGTTCAGGGAAGGGCGTCTCCCTCTCCCCTGCAACGCGGCCGTCCTTTAACAGGGCACAGCTGCAGTATGCAAAAGTTTAGGGAAGGAACGATTTTAGCCTCTTGAAAGTACAGGCAGTGATATGTGTTTCGTTTCTTTTATGGCCTTACTCACTATGGTAATCCGAGGCACGTGACTTCAGTTAGTCTTACACCTTTGTTAAGTCCAAACACCTACTTCAGGGAAAATGCTTTTTCATTTTTAGTGACTCTAAGTGCCTGAGATTCTGATGTTGTTTCATTAAAAAGAAATCGCCTCCACTAGCACAAGGCTTCCCCTCATCGCTGCAGCCAAACAGGCGTGGGTTTTCCTTGGGTGTGCCTAAGCTGAGGAGCCAGGAAGGCTCCTGTGGCTCCCAGGCCTGGGGAGGGAGAGAGATTTGGGGACAACTCAGCTCTCTTGGCAGACGCAGGCTTCCCCCGGCAGGAGAGCTGAGCGCTCACACGGAGGCACGATACTGCTGCCCCGGCACAGCCTTGGACCGGGGCCAGGGGCTTGGCAGAGCAGGAGCTCCTACATCAATGCAGAAGCATCCACGCACAGACTTTGCAAGCACTCAGCAAACACAGCAAGTGTACGGGTCCGGGCATTTCATTAGCAGTGGTCAACATAACCAAACTGAGAATGCACAGGAGAGATAGAAATTTAGAGTGAGATTCATTGCAGACCTCTTCATGCAGCTGCTCCACGCCAACCTCTCCTCCCATTTCCACCTCCCATCTCCCACATGTGCCCTCTGGTTGTACCTGCGGTAACCATGATCGGCCTCTCAGGCCAGAGCCGACACAAAATCCTGTCTGTGTTTCCAAAGTATGGGGAAAAAACGCAAAGCTGTCTTCTTCCATAAGGTTCAGTAAGCACCTGCTCCAGTTCAGGAGAGCAGAGCCCCACTTCAGATGGTGCGCTGCATGGTGTTAGAGTCCCAGGGCCCTCTCCTCGCCCAGGGCCGACAAGCTGCTAGGGCACATGGGCACGCTCCAGCAGCGCTGCCACCCATCAAGGCTCCCAGCAGAACAGTAACTGCATCAAACTTTTAAGGTACACTTCAAAAATGTACCAGATGCCTTTGCGTCATTGTAAAGCCTGCCTGCCCTTTTTAAGAGAGAAAAGAGTTTTAGCTCTGGGGTTTGGGACCAGCTTTGAAGCTTAGCTGAAATGAAAGGTAGCTGCTGTTCATGGTTATGTGCACCGCCTGGTGTATTGTAACATTGCTGCTGATGTTAGAGAAAAATGAGGATAAAGTCTTGGATGTTGACTTAAAGTTGGGACATGCTCTTCATTCAGCAACAACTCGGTTTAAGCAACCTTTCTTCTCCCCTAGAGCAACACAAGACACCATGCTTT